AATAAAAAAATTTTAAAAAAAAGAAGAGAGATACTTATGGAGCGGTTACAGCCACGGGCTCGAGCCCCGCAGAGATTGTGAGGATGACGAGGACTGGTCGATGCTCTGCTCTACTGAACATGGGGGCCCTTTAACTTGTGATCAACTCAGTGGCACCTGACACCACCCCGCCATAGGTGCTTGAAGGAGCCCTGGTGACGCAGTAGTGAAAGAATTGGGCTGCTAATCAAAAGGTTGGGAGTTCAAACTCCCTAGCTTCTCCCTGGCAGAAAGATGAGATAGTCAGCTTCCCTAAAAAGTCACTGCTCTGGGGGGACAGTGCTCTGAGGACTGTCCTCTGGGGGCCTTGCTCTGGGGACAATGCTCTGGGGCCAGTGCTCTGGGGTGGGGGGGAGGAAGCTCTACCCTGTCTGAGAGGGTGACTGGGAGTCAGAACCAGCTCAGCGGCCCTGAACTCCTGAGTGCTCAAAAAGGACCCATCTTCTTCCAGCGCTGGCTGCAGGCTTTTACGTGTGCCTGTTAAATCCACTTTGCTGTTGTCTAGTTAAGGACACTCTGGGTGCTTTTCAGGTAATTTAATCCATCAGTATCAGAAGTTTAACCCACTAAAAAATGGCCGTGGCTAGACATGTGTGTGTGACACACATACATTACTAATGTCACAGTAATTACTGAATTGTACATGAAAAGTACATTGAAAAGCAAATGATTTGTTAATTATATTTATATATGTACATATCTGATTTTCCCATTGAAATGACTGTAAAGTTTCTAACAAGCTAAGCAGGAATCTCTAGGTGGCAAAAATAGCTAAGTACCCAGCTGTTAAACCAAAAGGTTGGAAGTTCTAGGTCACCCAGAGCTACATGGTTCTGTATGGCTGGTCTTTCAGGGAGCATATTGGTTTTTGTGGGTGCCATCGAGCTGACAGGACAGAATTGCCCACAGGATACCAGGTCTTGGTCTCATGGAGCTTCTGGGAAGGCTCAAACTGCTAACCTTCCAGTTAACAGCCCACGGCTTAACCATTGATTGCCCTGCAGCGTTCCTAAGAGCTGTATGTGTACTCTAACGTCACATCCTGTTTAAAGCGTCAAATTGTTCTAGAACAGGGGTCAGCTCTGGTTTGCCTGGGTTAGTGGGTTTGTTTGAGGGTTTTTTTTTTCCTGAAAAGAGCCGGATAGTAAATATTTCAGGCTCAGCGGACTAGGTCTCTCTCACAACACTTCAGTTCTGACATCGAAACAGAAGAGCCGCCACAGACACGTGGGGACGGATCCATTTGTCTCTGAATTGTGAAGACTTTAACGTCCTCAGGCCTGTTTCAAACCTCTAGTCTTCTGTGCTTTATTTACATGGTGTTTTGGATTGAATTCTGCTATCCCAAAATACATCCTGGAATCTTAAGCCCTGGACCTGTGGCTGACACCTAGTTTAGAACAGGCTTTTCTTGGTTTTGTTCAGGAAGTCTTATCAGTGTGAGTGGGTCTTTAAACAGAATGGGTTTTGAGGATTGGCACTGAGAACAAGCAGGGGCAGATAGAACCACGGAGAATGCAAGGAGCACCGAGAGCACCGGAGAGGCCGAGACACTGCTCCTCCAAGCTAGAGTCAGTGCTCTGACGTCCCACTTCTGGTCTCAATGGTGAGACAGTAAAGGTCTGCTTGTTCAAGCCACGCCATGTGTGTGTTTGTTATAACTTAACTCGGTAACTGTCTCAGGTTCTCTCAAGAAGGAAAATCACTCCCTTTCTCTCTCTGTTCACATGGGGCTCTGGTAGTGTGGTCTGTAGAAAGCTGCACTGTGAAAACAAAGGCCAGGCTTCCAGAGAAGTGCAAACCCTCCAGCCACTACCTGGGGACAAGATGGGCAACCTCCTTCCACGCAACATACAGCCTCCAAAACCCCCATGGAGGGCCAGCTAGGAGTGGGTTCCAACCCGACGGCGAAGCGTTTGAGTCATAGATTTATCTGAAGACTCCTGAATGCAAAGCCAGCAGGCTCCAGTCAGAAGAAAGGCAGGGAGGTTAGAGAGAAGGATTAACAGGAATGAAAATTAGTGGGAAGAAGTTGCCCAAGTGAGGTACATTGTGGACATTGTCATTAATGTTATGAAACAAAATATGTTTAATGAAAAACCAATTGGTTTTGAAAATTTTCACTCAAATCACAATTTAAAAAAGTAGCCAAATAAATAAATGAAAGCAAGCTACCCCCACCAGACTTCCTGATAGACTTGATTCAGGCCACACGCCTGATCAAACTCCCCCTTAACCAATTGGTTGTTTATAGCAAATCCCACCAAAAATGAGGGGCAGGGTGGGGGGGAGAGAATGATGCTATAATGGAGAGCTCCTCAGAAGTGGGGGCAGTGAGACTTCACCTCATGCACTTTGGGCTTTTATCAGGAGAAGCTGGTCCTTGGAGGAGGACATCATGCTCAGGAAAGTACTGGACCATCTGATGGAGAGAGACTGTGCATGAAATGAGTGGACACAGTAGCTGCACAATGGGCTGGGGCACAGCTGAAATGTGAGGATGGTGTGAGGCAGGGCAGGGCTTTGCTCCGCTGCGCCCAGGGTTGCTGGGATTAGAATTGCTAGGACTCACAGCACCTAACAGCAATGTCCTTGGGAGCAGATGACCACTCTTTCCCCCAAGCTTGTGTTTGAGCTGCTTTCTTCTAGTTAACAGTGGAACACTTAACCTCTATGACCTTGGGAGACAAAGATACAGCCCAAGTTCCCTTGTTAGCCTTTGAAATCTCTCTCTGAGTCTCCCGCCCTGTGCAAACCTGGCCCAACAAAGAGGCAGAAACTGCCCTTTGCAGCAGCCCTTTTATTCAAGCCTGGGGAGAGAAGGGCCACTCTCGAGTTGGCCCTGAGTTCTGCTCAATCAGCAGCACGATTGCTGGGCCTGGAGCCGGAGTTGGTGGCACAGTCGGCTGCAGAGAGCTTTGGCTCAGAAGCTTCTTCTGCTGATGATGGAAGAGCCAGTGCCCATGTACTCATCCCTTGTGATCCACATGTCCTTGAACGTGGGGAGCGAGCAGAGGATCGAGCCCCCAACCCAAGAACTGTAGATGGAGTATGGGCAGGAGGACACCTGGAAGAGGGACACGCAGAAGAGAGCAGAGGGTTGGGAAGAGGCCACATCCGAGCTCTCATTTCTCAGGCATGACCCTGAGGCTCTGAAGGTTAAGGCATTGGCCCAGGAACTTCCAGCTCAAGTGCACCCACAGCCCCTGCTGTGTCCCCTGGGGGAACCACGCTGCAGCCATGCCATCTGCTGCCATTGCTCAGAACAGGTGCTCTTTAGGGAAACACCTTTACAAAAGCTATGCAGGAAGGGCCCTGCCATGGGCAACCCCGCTCCCCCAGCCATAACTCATGCAGCCAGACATCCAGGAAAAGGTGGACACAGGCTAAGAGCTTTCTACCTTCCAGAACACAGGCTTGAGGTGCTGGGCTGAATCATCCCAGGAGCCCCAAGAAGCAGATTCTTCCCATCTGTGACACCCCTCCTCTCATGTCCCCTCCATTGGGGTGATAACTGCTAGTTTTCAGTGTCTCCTCTGACCCTGTAATGATGCCTGTCCAAGGGGCACTTCTCGGGCTTCATTATGCCCAGCCAGAGCTGCAGGATTTCCCCGGTGGCCGGTCCCCTCTGTTTTCACTCCCTCACCTGCTTCCCTGACCTTCCTTCCCAGCCCCGTGGCTTCTCAGCATCCTAGCCAGCCCGACTATCTGTCCATCAAAGCTCTCCTCCATATTGATATTGGGACCATGAGTCATACTTTCACTCCTGTCGACCCCACATGACAGAGGAAAAACTGCCTCACAGCGTGTGCTAGTCTGCACTCGAACTTCTCCCATGGAGCTGCTGGGTGGTTTTGAACTGCCAAGCTTTCAGTTACCAGCCAAGCACTTAACTATTGTGCCACCGTAATGCTCTTAATTTTGGAAGCAGGAGCGGCATCCACTTCCTAAACAACATGCCTCTGGAAACTCTACGAACTTTGGTAAATATCAATAGTTGCAGAGGGGCTTCAGGCCTTTTGTTCATGGGGTCTCTGAGTCATGCTTGATGAGAAGGCAGTCAACAACAACACTCTTAATTACACTAATAGGCCTATTTCTTTCTTGTTGTGCATTGTTCAGTCAGAACCAAGCTGACCCTCCGGTGGGTTTTCGGATGCTGTCAGGAGATTGTCCCCCTTCTCCCATGGAGCAGCTGGTGGCCTCAAATCACATACCTTTGGGTTGGCAGCAAAACTCCTTACCCTTAGGCCACCACAATCTCCTATTTCTTTCTTGTTGTTCGCCTTCGAGTTGAAACCAACCCACAGTTGACCCGTCAGTGGGTTTTCAGAGACAGTAAATCTCACGGGAGGAGACTGCCCATCCTTCTCTCACAGAGCATCTGGTGGATTGGGACCAGGTGCCTCTGGGATTGCAGCATAGCTTATCGCCACTAGACCACCAGAGAGGCTTTTTCTTTCTTAGGACTTTGCATTTCTCTTTCTTGGCTTCTTGTGACTTCTTACAGAGATAAGATGAAAGAAGTCTGGATGAGACACATCTCTGTCCGGGGCCCTCCCTAGCTGCAGCTCTTCCTCTCTGTCTGCAACCCAGGTCCTCTCCTAACTCCCATCTCCTTCACCCCTGCACCTGGATGCAGCACAGACATGGAGGTAGAACCTGTCCAAATGCAAGACCTTGACCTTGACCCATCCTCCAGCTAACTATCGTCTTAGTGAGTGGTGACAGCTACTGTTGTCTTGACTGCTCACTTCTCTCACCCTCTGTTGGCCCCTCTGCAGAGCCTGTTGGCCACTCCTGGAACAAGCATCCCCACAGGAGAGGGCCCCTCTCTCACTGGCCTTCTCTGAACCACCAGCATCTCACAGCTTGTCACCACACCTGTGGGTTCTCTTAAACACCCCTCTGCACACAGCTAGTGGGGTCCTCCCAGCACCTGGCTAGAGTGTGTCCTTGCTTTGCTCAAAACTTCCCAGTGGTCCTCAGTCCCTCCCAGTTCAGATAAAATATCACAAAATGTCCTGGGCCTCTTGCAGACGTCCCTTCCACCAATGAACCCCAGACAAGACTTTCCTGGCCTGCTTCCAAAACAAGACCAGCTCCAGCCTCAGGCCTTGGCCTTGGCCATCCCTTGGCCTAGACACTATTCACGGTATCCGTGAAGCCCTCTTGTTCCCCAGGCATTTACTCCAGCATCGTCTTCTTGAAGAGGCCACTGTGACCACCCAGCAAAGGCCCAGGAGCAACAGGGGGGAGAGATGTGATGATCTGCTTCCACAAGGAGGTGCAGCCCGGGAAGCCCCAGGGGCAGTTCTAGGGTCACTGCTCAGAATCGCCTTGGCAGCAACGGCCTTGGTTTTCTGTTTGACACCTCATCCTTGTTGTGGGCATTGTCCTCTCCTGGGAGTGAAGACACTCCTCCCCCACGGAGAGCAAGCTGCTCGGAGGCTCCATTGTCCTGTTCCCGATGCTTCCTTAAGTGCCTGGGACTGTGTCCCGCTGCCTGTGGGGTGACCTTGGGAAACCCTTGGAGGAATGGCCTGCAGCACCTACCTTCACTTTTAAGAGCGGGGAAACCACGTCGCTGATTTCCTTCTGCAGCCGGAAGCGCAAGCCAAAGCAGCTGCCCGTCCCACCGGACAGCAGGATGTTGCTGTAGAGGGTCTTCCAGAAGTCCAGCTTGCAGGAGGCCACACTCTGGGAGGCCACCATGTGGATGCCTAGGGTGTTCTTCCCTGGGGTGGGGAGGCCAGAGACAGGCAGAGAAAAAGGGGGAGGAGAGACAGAGAGAGATGATGGGTGATGGGAGGAAGAGAGAGACAGATCGAAAGACAGAGAGAAAAAAGAATTGCAGGAAGAGGCAAAGAAAGGAGAAGAAGGAGAAAAGAAGAAGGGATGAAGGAAGAAGAGAGAGGGGAGGAGACATAGGAAGATAGAGACACAGAGAGAGACATAGGCAAAGAAAGAGAGACGCAAAGAGAGGCATGGGATAGATAGGTAGGTAGGTAGATAGATGATAGATAGATAGATGTAGGTAGGTAGATAGATAGATAGATAGATAGATAGATAGATAGATAGATAGATAGATAGATAGACAGACAGATAGACAGACATGGCCAAAGAAACAGAGGGAGAGACAGGAGGGTGAGACAGAGCAGGGAGGAGGGAGTGAGGAGGAACGAGACAGAGGGTTAGTGTGTCTGTGCAGCTTTTGGGACACGTCCTTTGCTATCTGCCATGGAGTGAACCTCTGATTCCCAGCAACGCAGCAGAACCAAGTGCTGTGGGCCCTACCCATCCCCTTGACTGCTGGGATCCGAAGTGGTTTCACTCACTCGTCTTGGGGGTGGATCACAGCCCTCTGCTCCTAGCCTGTCTCAGTCTGGAAACTCCAAGGTCTCACATCACAGCCACATGGACAGACAGGAGACGGCTGTCCCTGAGGGGCACCAGGCAGCCTTGAGCCTGTGCTTCCCACACAGGAGAGGAGAATCCCCACTCAACAGCCTCTGCCTGGGAACTTACACATAGTAGGTGCTTTCTAAGTGTCAGCCGGGAGGTACACGTGATGCGGGTGGCGATGTGCCACCACAGATACTGTGTATCCCTCGGGGACACTCACCGATGAGGCTTGGGTTGAAGAGGGCCTCAGGGCACATGAACCTCTCCTTCCCGAGCTCGATCTCCTGACCATCCAGTAGCTGGAATGTCTGCTTGAAGGAAGGCAAGCTGGCTTTGGCCAGCTCTTTTTCAAAGTCCAAAGCTACATAGCAGCACCTCTCTTTGATATCTTGAACGCAGACCTGGTCACCTGTAGGCAAAGTGGAGGGTGTCAGCCGGGGCTCACAATAAGCGGCACTTTCCAAAGGTCCAGGTCCCTGTAGGGAGCAGACAGCACCATGTCAGCTATCTGTACTTTAAACAGCACTGTCTCCTATCTCCCGATCTGTGCTTAGTGATGGGGGACCAGGCTATGCAGGGAGGGCAGAAACATCCTAACCTAAGACACAGGAATTTAAAAATCTTATGCATGTTCTAGATCGATATTCTACTCTATTTTGCTGTGTGTTTTGGAAGTTGTTTTGTTTTGTTTCTATCAATCAGATAGGTCAGATGTTATTGCATTTATCCCCATGTCATTGTTGTTGATGGTCTATGAGCTGATTCTAACTTATAGGGACTCTGTGAACTACACAATGAAACCCCACCTGGGCCACCTTGACCTCACATTCTTTCTCCAGAATTCTTACTCAAGGCTCACATGTTTGCACTCATTATGGCAATCACTGTGTCAATCCGCTTCATTCAGGGTCTTCCTCTGTGCCAAGGGGGGACCCTCTACTTTGCCGAAGGGCCATGGGAGTATAGTGCATTACGAGCTGAGTTGCTAATCAAAAGGTCAACAGATCAAATCCAGGAGTCACTCTACAGGAAAAAGCTGAGGCCATCGCTTCCTGTGACAATGCATAGCTTTGGGGGATCCCTGGGTGGGAATCTGCCCAATGACGGAGTTGGTGTTGGGTTTTCTACTTTGCTAAGCATGATGCCTTTTTCAGGGACCAGCCCTTTCATGATCACAGTCCACAGACCAAGTATTTTCATCGCTGCTTAGAATGTTCTGGATGCAGTCCATCCAAGACAGTTCTATAGGCTATGTTTTCTTTACACACATGCACATACATATATATGTTGTCGTTGTTATGTACCATCAAGTCAGAGTCAACTCATAGGTGACCTTCCAGTGGGTTTTCAAAGGCAGAATCACATGCCTTCGGGATTGCAGTGCAGCTTCTTACCTCTAGGGCACCAGAGCTCCGTGTGTGTGTGTGTGTGTGTGTGTGTGTGTG